AAGAATCAAGGATCTCTCCCCTCCCCTGTGCCTCCAGCCCCTGTAGGAAGGGTGATAGACAGCAAGAGCTAGGGAGTGCTTGGACTGCTCACGGGGCAGCTGGCTTCTGAGGAAGGCAGTGCAGAGCTTGGAGGAGGGCATCTGAGGGAGATACTGAGGGTAGAGGTTCTGGAATGAGATCTGGGCTGCAAAGACAAACTTGGGGGTGGTACTGTAGACAGTCCTTTTAAGTCACGGGCTTCAGAGAAAAGAGCGTATAGACAAGGGTGGGGAGAGACAGAGGAGAAGAGAGGGGACAGGGAAAAAAGAGAAAGGAGAGGAGAGGGACAAAGAGAGGAGTAGAAATGAAAGGGGAGAGGAGACAGGGAAGAGGGGAGAGGCGAGGGCAGGGGAGGCGGGGAGGAGAGACATCTGCTCAAACATGCATTTGCCCAGGAGACCTGGTGTGCACCTTGTGCCCAGCACCAAGGAGCAGATAGAGGGCCCCACAGGTGTGGTGGGTCCCAGATTTGCTCTGAGTTTAGATGTTCAGCCTGGGGCTGTCCGCTGTGGGTCTGAACCTTCTGTGTGACGCTAGGCTGCCGGGGAGAGCAGGTTGCAACAGGAGGCTGGGGAGGAGTGAATTTGAGGAGAAGCACCCTGGAGATCTGTAGGATGTATATGAAGAAGGGGAGAGCGAAAGTGGAGCCAGACAGATGTTTGGTTAGATAGGGGGTCGGGGAGGTAGAGGCAGCAGGAGTGACCCCTGGAGACCTTCAGATACTCATGGTTGCTGGAGCAGAGGAGGCAGAGGTCACACAGCTCCCAGCACCTCCTTTGCCATCTTCATCCTGATGGTGCCGCCAGCTTCCTGGATCTCCATGTTTTGGTGTCTACCTGACCTATTAGCACACATACCCTGAGGAAGACAGCACATGCTGACACATATGTGTGCATCAGAAAGCATATGTCAGGTTACAGAATCTGGCTGGAACATCTTGGAGTCTTAAAATTCCTGAACTTGGGGACAGCTATGATTTGTGAGCCTTGAACAAAGGATGCCCAGAGGCTGCCAGACTAGGGTCTCACCCAGAGGAGGGTGGTGATGACCTGTGACAGTGCTCTGCCAGCTCCGCAGTTCTGCACAGATGTGAGTGATGGCCACAGCTGCCTGACTGTGAAACACGGTGGGAGGGTGACCCCAGGAGGAGACAGTGATGGTGAGGGCTAGGGAGAGGGAGAGAATGAACATAGACTCTAGGTGTAAGAACAGGAGAGAGGGCTCAGATGCACACAGCAGCTCACACCATCTGTAACTCCAGTTCCAGGGGATCTGATACCCTCTTCTGGTCTCTGTGGACACCAGGCACACAAGTGGTGCACAGACCACCCAGCACCCATACATGTAAAAAAAAAAAAAGGAAAGTCTATATGAGTATGTGGGGACATAATAGAGAAATCAGAGACCAAAAGTAGTGAGACAGAACCAGAAAGAGATAGGAGAGAGACTGTGTGTGTATAAGCAAGGGTGGGGGTTGTGAAGGGACAGAAGGAGAGAGGGGGGAGGGAGGGAGAGGGAGAGAGGCATCTTAGTTGTGTGTGACTGATTTTTACACACTTCTGTTCATATTAGTTTCTGGGTTTTCTTTATGTATACTTCTTAATGATTTTCTAAAAGAAAGAATGGCTCACCTGCCATGACCTGGCTAAATCCATAGGACCCATTTGGTGGAAGGAAAAAACAGACTCCCAGAAGTTGTCTCTTCTGACCTCCATATACTGAGTTGTGGTACACATGCGCGCACACACACACACACACACACACACTGATGCACACGCACACTGATGCACACACACATGCATACATACACTCATGCACACATACATACACACACTCATGCATACATATGCATACATACACACACACTTAGGCACACGTATGCATGCATACACATGCACTCATGCACACACATGCATACACACACTAAATAAACTTGTAATAAAAGTAAAAAACATGATTTCTAGATGTAAGTTGGGTCTTTAAACTCTCTGCAGTTTGGAAATATCTGAGGAAAGCTTAACGATTTGCATGCAAATTGACCTGGAGATTTACTTCATAGAGTTTATTCAAAGGAGATAATCATGGACATACTGATGATTTAATTGCAAGGATGTTTTTGAAGTGTCAGTTGGTAACAGCAAAAAACTTCCTGAGAAACAAAAAGGAAAAGAAAAACCACCGTCTAACATACAAAAATGGACATAGAAACAAAAGATGGATCCATTTTGTAGAATGGAGTTTTTCCTTATGCTTTGTCTGTACAGTGAATTTCCGAGTGGCCTTTAAAACAATGGGGAAGGCAAGCGGCAGGAGGGAGCCTGGCAATCCAATCTTACTAGAAAAAAGAAGTTTGCTTGTTAGAATGACCTGGCATTTAAATTTTAAAACACTTTTGTTTATTTTATTGGGTATATGGTGTGTGTGTGTGTGTGTGTGTGTGTGTGTGTGCGTGTGTGTGTGTGTGTGTATCTGCCATGGCACTCATGTGGCAATCAAAGGATAACTTTGTGAGGCTGGTGCTCTTTTTCCATCTTTATGTGGGTTCCGGGGATCCCCCTTGGGTGCTTTGCTGACTGAGCCTCATGCTGGCTCAACTATCAGGAATTTTTATCAGCCGGCTAATAACTTCACTGTGCAGCAGTCGGAACACTAGAAGTGAGTTACATCGCTGTGGTAAATGCTCCACACCGGGCTGCTGTCGCTGCCCTCCTGTCTCTCTGAGTCCTCCAGGGGCACAGACATGGTGGCCATCATCCAAGTGTGATTTTGATGGTCACCATTAGATCACACCGCATCCATGCCAATTCACACAGATATAGCCACCTCTTCTGTTAACTGTCCCACCGGGCTGAAGCCAGCTGCTACCCATTCAGAAAAACAACCTCTTGCATCTTAATAGGTGCCGAGGCAATCTGCTCCCCTGACAGTTGCAAATGGATGTCTTTTAAGGTGGGCGCTTTGGCAGTCTGTTTGTGGCAGGCAAGTGACCCTTGTAACTGGAGTGTCAGAGGCTGACTCCAGGTGTGTGGAGAAGCCCCGCATACCCCTGAGGTTTAGTCCCTTCTCTTCCCTTCCCTGAGAAAATAAAAATAAGACAAACAAGAACTGGAGCGATAGCTCAGTGCTTAAGAGAAATGACTGTTCTCCTGGAGGCCCCAGACCCACTGCTCAGCACCCACATGGCAGCTCACAGCAGTCTGTTCACTCTAGTCTTGAGGGAGCCTATGCCCTTTTCTGGCCACAGAGGGTACTGCACACACAAGGTGCATACACAGACGCAGGCAAAGCACTCACACACATAAAATAAATTGGCGGGGGGGGGAGATAAACAGCAAAGTTAGAAGACACAACACCCCAAGGAACTGAGAGACTTGCAAACAAAGATACTGTTCATCTTTCTCCTCCTCCACTCGAAGTGGTACTGAGGACTGAACCCAGGTCTCACGCACATCAGGTTAGTGCTCCATCGGAAGTCAAGTCCATCTTTCTGGCCATCTGTTCTTTGTATTCAGCCTACTCTGGAGCAAATGTAGAAAGACATAAAGCCTAGGCATAAACTGTTACTTCTTTCCTAGCCTCAAATGTCATCTATGTTTGTGCAAATCACCTGGGTCTTTGTCCGTCTCACAAGAGAAGGGCTTCTTCCTCTCACACCCACTGTTTCCAGCCAGCAGAGAGCTGGAGGCCTGCCCAGGGCCCACAGAGAGGACTCCATGTTTCTCTCTGACTTTCAGAGTGGCAAATCCTCAGAGATGGTGCCCGTCCTCCCGCTCCAGCCCTGGGCCATAGTCCCATGTTTCAGATTCCTGGTCCTCAACAGAAGCCATTCCATCGCATGCTCGGTCTCTGTGCTGATCTTGGGTATGCCCACTGGGGCAGTGATTAGATTTCAAGTGAGATGTTACCTTGGCAACCAAGTTACTGGCTCACTCAATTAACCCGCTTCCCCCTTGTAATCAATACTCATTAGCTTCCAGTCGCTTCTTTTTTGTGTCTTGCAGCCTTAAGCGTACTTTAGTCCCAACTTGCTTCCTACAGGTAACACCCATCTCTCCCTCGAACTCTGGAGACAGATTTAAATTCAGCAGAAGCCTCTCCCTACCCCACGGGGCCTTGGGGCTGTCACCTTCATTCAGGTTTGTTGGAGGAGGTGCTAGCTGTTCATCTAGGACTGTTGAGAGAACCTCATGGTACTTCTGGCATCCCATTAGGCTACCGGGGCAGGAGCATGATGGGACCTTGGCATTCAGAACTAGAAAGAGGACTTCTGTGTCCCCTTAGAGATCCCTGCATGCTCACAAGGAGAAACACTATGTGATGGGTTGATGGGGGAAGTACTTCTGTGTATGTTTATCCTATTGATTGTTAAATAAAATACTGTTTGGCCAATGACAGCAAGTTAGACGGGACTAAGAGTCAAAGAGGATTCTGGGAAATGTAGTAGAGAAGTGGTGATCCAGACAGGAAGTGTCCCGCTTTTCCTGTTCCTCTTTGACTCCTAGTCCTGTCTAACTTTCTGTTTCATTGGCCAAACAGTATTTTATTCAATAATCAATAAGATAAACATACAAAGAAGTACATTCCCCATCAATGGGAGTGGTAGGCAGCTCCAGTTGAGATCAGAGAAAAAACTTAGACACCCCCAAAGTGGTCTGTTCCCCTTCCTACTCTGCCTCAAAAGCAGAGGTAGAGTATGGTAGAATATTATTTTGAAGTATTCTACTTTTGTTTATACTACATTTGTTTAACTGTGAAGCTGTGATTCTTTGCTTGTTTAAAAGACCTGATGGTCTAATAAAGAGCTGAATAGCCAATGGCAAGGCAGGGGCAAGGATAGGCGGGGCTGGCAGGCAGAGAATATAAATAGAAGAAGAAACGAGGAGGAGCAAGAAGAAGAAGAAGCAAGAGAACAAGGAGAAGAGGATGTCAGGGCCAGCCACCCAGCCACCCGGCCACCCAGCCACCCGGCCACCCAGCCACCTGGCCACCCGGCCACCCGGCCACCTGGCCACCCGGCCACCCGGCCACCTGGCCACCCGGCCACCCGGCCACCTGGCCACCCGGCCACCCGGCCACCTGGCCACCCGGCCACCCGGCCACCTGGCCACCCGGCCACCCGGCCACCTGGCCACCCGGCCACCCGGCCACCTGGCCACCCGGCCACCCGGCCACCTGGCCACCCGGCCACCCGGCCACCTGGCCACCCGGCCACCCGGCCACCTGGCCACCCGGCCACCCGGCCACCTGGCCACCCGGCCACCCGGCCACCTGGCCACCCGGCCACCCGGCCACCTGGCCACCCGCCCACCCGGCCATCCATCCACCCAGCCACCCAGCCATCCAGCCACCCAGACACTCAGCCATCCAGCCACCCAGCCACCCATTCACCCGGCCACCCGGCCACCCGGCCACCCAGCCATACATCCATCCAGACACCCAGACACCCAGCCACCCAGCCACCCGGCCACCCGGCCATACATCCACCCAGACACCCAGACACCCAGCCACCTGGCCACCCGGCCACCTGGCCACCCGGCCACCTGGCCACCCGGCCACCTGGCCACCCGGCCACCTGGCCACCCGGCCACCTGGCCACCCGGCCACCTGGCCACCCGGCCACCTGGCCACCCGGCCACCTGGCCACCCGGCCACCTGGCCACCCGGCCACCTGGCCACCCAGACACCCAGCCACTCAGCCACCCAGACACTCAGACACCCAGACACCCAGCCACCTGGCCACCGGGCCACCTGGCCACCCAGCCACCCGGCCACCCGGCAATCCAGCCCCCCAGACACCCAGACACCCAGACACCCAGACACCCAGACACCCAGACACCCAGACATGCAGCCACCCAGCCATACAGCCACCCAGACACCCAGTCACCCAGACATGCAGCCACCCAGCCACCCAGCCACCCAGCCACCCAGCCATCCAGCCATCCAGCCACCCAGCCATTCAGCCACCCAGCCACCCAGCCATCCAGCCACCCAGCCACCCAGCCACCCAGCCACCCAGCCATCCAGCCATCCAGCCACCCAGCCATTCAGCCACCCAGCCACCCAGCCATCCAGCCACCCAGCCACCCAGCCACCCAGCCACCCAGCCATCCAGCCATCCAGCCACCCAGCCATTCAGCCACCCAGCCACCCAGCCATCCAGCCACCCAGCCACCCAGCCACCCAGCCACCCAGCCATCCAGCCATCCAGCCACCCAGCCATTCAGCCACCCAGCCACCCAGCCATCCAGCCACCCAGCCACCCAGCCACCCATCCACCCAGCCACCCATCCACCCAGCCACCCAGCCACCCAGCCATCCAGCCATCCAGCCACCCAGCCATTCAGTCACCCAGTCAGCACAGAGTAGGAAGGAAAGTAAGATTTAAAGAAGTGAGAGAACAGGAAAAGCCCAAAGCCAAAAGGTAGATGGGATCATTTAAAGATAAGAAAAGCTGGCTAGAAACAAGCCAAGGCAAGGCCGGGCACTCATAGCTAAGATTAAGCTTCCGTGTATAATTTACTTGGGAGCAGAGTGGTGGGCCCCTCAAAGAGACCAAAAAGCAAAAAGAGCAAAACCAAATCACGACAGTAGGGTGGTGGCATCATTCATTGAAGACAAAGTTCTTCCTTCACTGCACAGAGGTGGGGACTATGACAGTGGACATCCCAAAACTTCTGTCCTGATCCAGAGCTGGTGCCCTACAGGGACCTGGCCCTTTGTGGAACAAGGATATCCCTGGGGCTGGTCAGAAGGTCAGTGGAATTGTTTAATAGAGCCAGAGGCAGAGGTGTCTGTCTGGCCTCCAGCGTTTGTGCCACGGGACATGTGTGCCACCATCTCCCACGTGTACACATGCACACAAAATAAATAAAGACATAATGAGAGTTAAATACAAAGGAAAAGGGCTACTTCCGCCTTTAGCAACATGCTGCTGACAGCTGTGTGCTGTGGGGTCAGCTGACCAAATGGAGCATGACCTCTCTCCCTCCCTCCTTCCCTCCCTCCCTCCCTCCCTCTCTCTCTCTCTTTTTCTTTTTCGAGACAGGATTTCTCTGTGTAGCTTTGGAGCCTGTCCTGGCACTCGCTCTGGTGACCAGGCTGGCCTCCATCTCACAGAGATCTGCCTGCCTCTGCCTCCCGAGTGCTGGGATTAAAGGCGTGCACCACCAACGCCTGGCTCTTTCTTACTTTTTAAAGAGAAAATTCTTCAAAATTATTAAAATCATGTATTTGTGCTCACGAATGTCTGTGCACCACATCCATGCAGTTCCTGAGGCGGCTGAAAGAAGGCGCCAGAGTTACTGACAGACACGTGTGCACCACCAGGGGGATGTGAGAATTGAACCTGGGTCCTCAGGAAGAGCAGCCAGTGCTTTTAACCATTGAGCCAAATGTCCAGCTTCTATCTGTCTATCTGCTGTCTGTCTGTCTATCTATCTATCTATCTATCTATCTATCTATCTATCTATCTCCTATTTAAAAGACGGCTTCATGTAGCCCAAGCTAGCTTCAAACTCATTATGTTGCCAGGGATGACTTTGGGATCCTGATCCTGCTTCTGCCTCCCTGGTGTTGGGACTACAGTGCAGTTGTCCCTGATTGGCTCAACTCAGTATGAAGCAGAGGCTGACCCTGCCTCGGCTCCTAAGCGCTAGGATGATAGATGCGCATAAACAATGCTGTCTATTTGTTGCTGGGGCCTGAACCCAGGACTGATCCACTCAGTGGGTGGTACACTCTCTCTGCCTCCCCCTGAGACAGGTGACCATGCAGTTTTAGAATCTCAGTCCTCCCAAGCTCAAGACTCTTATTCCCATTTTACAGATGAAGAAACTGAGGCACAGAGATAGCCATGGCAAAAGTCACTGGCAATTAAGAGAGATGATCAGAGACAATCAGGACTTGTCCTTTGGGTTCCTGACCTTTTTTTTTTTTTTTTTTTTTTTTTTTTTTGAGACAGGGTTTCTCTGGCTTTGGAGGCTGTCCTGGAACACTAGCTCTTGTAGACCAGGCTGGTCTTGAACTCACAGAGATCTGCCTACCTCTGCCTCCCAAGTGCTGAGATTAAAGGTGTGCACCACCAACGTCCGGCTGGGTTCCTAACTTTTGCACATGTTTTTACTTCATCTCTTTGAACTCCTATTCATCCTTCAAGACCCAGTTCAAATATGACCCAATACTACCTCTTCCAAGGAGCCTCTCCACCTGTGCTGTGGCCTTGGCATAGACTTCTAGAGAGTCATGTGTTGAGACAAGGATGGTGACCATCTAAGCTGCAGCTCCCCTCCCCGAAGGAAGGGGGCAATCTCCTGCTTCTACCCACCCCAATGAGGTCATAGGCAGAGAAGAGAGATTGACTTGCGTTATTCCCAGTGAGTGCCCTGAGGTTTAAAACGGAATAGATGTTCCATATGCGGTATCTGCTCTCCTTCCTCATGGAAGACTCTGGAACTGCTTGGGCATTTAATAGTGCATACCCTCGAGCTCCGTTTCCCTGCCTGTCCGAGGAGGCGGGGCTTCCTCTGAAGGCTGGGGGAGGGCAGCCTGAGTGAAACCTGTGAAGCTTTCCCGTAGGTGACTGCTGGCGGCCAGCTTTGCTCAGAGCTATTATTTTCATTAATCTCATTACCGAAGGGCACGCGGTAACGGGCTGCTCGCCAGAGTCTCCTCCCAGAGTCTCCTCCCGTCTTCAGGCCAGGCAGGGGCTGGCTCCGTGCCCAGCTCTATAGAGCAGCTCTTTGAGGGAGGAAGAAATGAGCCTGAGGCTCAGGGAGGGCTCACCAGAGAGAGAGGATGAGTGTGGGGCAGGGGCGGCATGGGGGAGGGGTGTCCCTGGGGACCCCAGAGATAGCCCAGCTCTGTGAGTGCGGATCCGGGGCAGGAGCCACTGGGAAAATCACCACCCTGCCCTCTCTGTCCACTTGATATTTACCTGTAACTGGATCTCTCTACAGCCTCTGCTAAGACATTGGATCTGTAGGCAGCCTGGACCCTAGGGAGAGTTCTTACTTGCTTCGTACCTCAGTCTTCCCCTCTGGGAACTGGGATGGACCCCACTAGGGTCACTGCTAACTGAGTTGGTCCCAGGAAATGACTCAGGACAGGTATAGCAGGTGCTCAACAAGATGATAGCCAGGGTGATGTAGGCACATTTTGGCTTGTGGGAAGGTCCTGGGTCTGGTCTGAGTGGTAGCTCGAGCTCTGCCCTGTCACTACCTGTGTGATCTTAGGCCTCAGTTCATCTGTGGGAGCACGGGGGCTTTGTCTGTAAATGGCTACAATGTCCATCTGAGGCTGGGTTGATCAACAGTCAGACACCAGCTCCTGCTTGGGAGGCAGACACCTTGTTGAGGGGGAGGGGCAAGAGGGAGGGAGAGAAGGAAGGAGAGAGAAGAAGGGAGGAGAATGGAGGGAGAGATGGACAGGAGAAGGGAAGAAGGGAGAGGAGGGAGAGAAAGGGTATGAGGGAGAGAAGGAAGGAGGAAGGGAGGGGAAGGAGAGCGAGGGAGAGAGAGGGAGAGAGAGGGAGAACAAGCACTTGGCACATGTTATAGAACCTGGCAGACAGCTCCAAGGGCTTGGTTCTCTCCTTCCCTCACATAGGCTCAGGACCACAGGGACTCAGGACCATGCAGGCTCAGGGCTCAGGAATCAGACTCAGGCAAGTCAGGCTTGGCAGTCAGGGCCTCTACCTACTGAGCCATCTTGATAGCTCTCTTGGCTGGTGTGTGTGTGTGTGTGTGTGTGTGTGTGTGTGTGTGTGTGTGTGTGTGTGTTTGAAGGCTGAGGGCTGAGGTTGGACTCTGGATGGGTGGCCACCTCTGCTCTCAACACTAGCCGTTGTGCCAGCCTCCCAGGGTCTGCATCAGGCCCAGCACTAGATATGCTTCAGTTAGTAATCCATACAGTAACTGTCTTAGGAGGAGTTAGGTTTCCACCAGGGGCCCTGAGACCCTGAGACCCTGAGGCCCTGAGGAGTTGAGGAGCTGAGGAGGAGGCTCCAGGTCACACAGCTCCATTGGCCAATTCTATCAACTACCCCCAAGGCCCTAGACCTCCCCTTGTGGTCATCCCTGAGCCCCAGCCCTTCCAGAGCTGGCTCTGAGAATCCCCAGGGTCACTGGTCTGTCCCTGCTGTGCCCTTCCAGTTCATGTGCAATCCCTGAGCTCTCAGACGGAGTGACAGACAGTTCCAACACCTTTGAAGAGTGGCCTTGGTTGGCGGGGTGGGGGGGGAGGGGCACAACTTCTCAGAATTCCAATAAGTCAAGTGACTCGGTGTGGGGGCAGTCCTGCTCCCCA